AGGAACCAGCTTTTCGTGCCCAAAAAGTAAACCACAAAGACACATAAAGTTCAAAAAGAGAAGCAGACCTAAACTTAAAGGCTTGAGTCTCACACAAGAATCAGAAACTACAAAAGAAATTCACATGTCAAAATCACAGAGAAAAAATAACATTAAGCCGGGCGTGGCAGCACACACCTTTAATCTGAGCACTTGGGAGGCAGAGGCAGGCGGATCTCTATGAGTTCAAGGCCAGCCTGGTTGACACAGTGAGTTCCAGGACAGCTGGGGCTACAGGGAGACCCTGTCTCAAAAAGACCAAAAAACCAAAAACAAAAACCTATATGCTACTAAATTTGAAAACCTAAAAGAAATGTATGAATATCTAAAGGCATGGGAACTACCAAAACTAAACCAATAAGAGATTAATAGCTTAAACAAACCCATAACACACAAAAAATTGAAACAGTAATATTAAACCCCCCAACTAAAACAAACCCAGGACCAGATGGATTTACAGTAGAATTCTATCAGACATTTAAAGATCTACTTAATTTATTGAAAAAGATAGAAATGGAAGGAGAAGTCCCAAATTCCTTCTATGAAGCCAGCATCACTCTAATACCAAAGCCATGTAAAGATACAACAAAAAAGAAAACTATAGCCCAATATCCTTAATGAACATAGATGCAAAAATTCTCAACAAGATACTTGCAAATCACACACAGACACATAACAAAAAGATCATCCACCATAATCAAATTGGCTTTATCCTAGAGACACAGGGATGGTTCAATATATGTAACTCAATAAACATCATAAATCATATAAATGGACACAAAGACAAGAACCACATGGCCATTTAAACAAGTGCAGAGAAGACCTTTGACAAAATTCAACATGCATTTATGTTCAAAGTCCTAGAAGGAATTGGACTGAAGGAAATATACCTCAACACAATTAAAGCCATACACAATAAACCCACAGCCAACATCATTCTAAATGGAGAAAAACTGGAAGCATTCCCATTAAAATCAGGAACCAGGCAAGGTTATCCACTATCTCCACTTCTTTTCAACATAGTGCTTGAAACTCTTGCTAGAGCAATAAGGCAGGAGAAGGAAAGACAAGAGAAGGAAATTAAAGGAATAATAATTGGAAAAGAAGAGATCAAATTATCCCTTTTTGCAGATGGTATGATATTATATCTAAGAGACATCAAAAATTCCACCAGAAAAGTAAAGTGGCAGGTTACAAAATTAACCTAAAAAAGTCTGTAGCCTTTCTATATACTAATAACGAGCAATCAGAGAAAGATCACATGGAAACACTCCTCTTCACAAT